CACACACACACATGTGTTTGCTGATGTCACGACACGTGCTCGCATTTTGCGGACGACGACGACGACGACGACGTGCTTGGGTGACTACGATTGCATGTACATGTATTAGGTCGTTTTAGCTGCAACAGCGCCTTTGGAGTGCTGCTACTGGGTTGGAGACAAGATCCCTCCTCAACAGCCAATCACAATGGCGACTCGTCTGTTCCACGCCCTTGTGGTCTTCTTGGGCGTCGTCGTCGGCCTGGCTGGCGCGGCAGGAGAGCCATGTCGGATCGACGGGCAGGCGGCCGAGTCCTGCGTGCTTTCCCTGCCTGGTACGGGCTTTGATGTGCTGTGTGCGTGTGATATGAGCGTGAATCGCACCGTGTACCCTTTGCCCTTTGATGTAAAGGCCAACATTACCACGACCTCGAGCGAGACTGCGTTTGTGCTCTGGTCCCTCACCACCTCCAACATCAGCGCCGAATACCAGGTTGGCGCGCCTTTCAACCAATCTGGCGTTACAATGCTTCAGGACACTATTGGCGAATGGGCTTACATGGGCCCCGGTCCATTGAACCTTGCAACGACGGCCAACTATTCAGACCCCACCGCCCCTGATGGGGGTCGTCGAGTGGTCATGCGCGTTGCAGCGACAACCGACGCCATGGATTCCCGTGACCGAAGCCCAATGGTTGAGCTGGCCAACTCGCCTTGCTTGATGGATCCCGAAACGCCGTGCTACGTGACCGTCTCCCCGGGCTACAACATTGTCATGGGCACCAGCGCGGCAGCCCGATTTGGCTGGCACCTCTACGCCGTCAATGCCAGCCATCGCGACGATATTGTCTTTGAACAGACGTTTTCCATCTCAGAACTAAGTGTTACCGAGGTTTTTGAGAAGCGGTGTGGCAGTCTGGCTATATCCGTGGCCCTGCAAATGTTTTATTCCAATGGTACTCTGGCCTACGAAGGTCCTCGCAGCAACAGCAGCCTCATCGCCACCACCACCACGCCCTCCCCCCTGCCCAGCTTGTCGTATGTCGCTTGCTCTGCACTTTGCCCCGTCTGCGGAGCTCGTCTCTCCTTGGAAAAACGGCCTTTTTTTAACCCTGTTTCAATCAATCACCCCAGGTTGGACGTTCGTCTCTCGACAAGCACGGACAAGCTGAACCTGAAATGGGTTGACAGCGTGGATGACGGTGGCTGTGGTCCCGTGATCTACAACGTATATCTCGTCAACCTCAACACGAGCCAAATCCTCGGTGTGTTACACAGCACAGGCCTCTGCAGTTTTTTTTTCTTAGTTTTTTTTTTTTTGTTTTTTTTAGTTTTTTCCCTTACATGTTCATGTGTGTTCTGGCTGGACCCGTGTGCTCATTGAATCGTGGCTCTGTTTGCCGAAACCGACATCAGATCACCAGTACATCCCTTCAGGCGTCGAGCATGCAACGCTCAGCGTCACGGGCACTCGTGCAGTGGGTCAGATCCTTCAGGTTCGTCACTTCGGCTGGACTCACCCTCTCTGTCTGTACTTCCAAGTGATTGATACAATGTACCGTGCCCATCGATTACTAGGTTTGCATCGCACCGTCCAATGCCAATGGTGCTGCAGACGTGTGGTGTCTTGAAACATCTCCTTTGACGAATCCCAAGAAGGATCATGCTCTGACACTAGCGCTGGCCATTGGCTTGTCGTTGGCAGCCGTTCTGCTTGTGGCGGGCTTTGTCGTGGTCTGGCGCAGACGCGCTGCTGCCCAATATGCCGCAATCTAATCGCCGTGAAGTGTGAAACCCATGCTTGCAAACGTTGCGTTGCTTCTATGTATCAAGTCGCGTGCGCGTGTGTGCCTGTTGTCGCGGCGCTATAGCAGTTGACATGTCAATCAACTGCTCGAGTTTGTGCCGAAAAGTAACCATAGACATCACGTCAGTCACACACATGTGTGAGGTGCAGTCGAAATTCCTATTAACTAGTTTTTGTCAGACTCGAGAAACAGCTGTCTCTTTCCCAAACAAGCCAAAAACACCTGCAAACGACTTTTGAAGAGTTGGGTTTTGCGCATCTGATCATGTAAATTTTTTTTTCTGGGCTTGATGTCTGAGACAAGTTATGGTTGTTCTATGCATGCGAGCTGTAAGGGGTAGTTGTCTCTGACTCATCAAAGATTAAGCTGTAACTCGAGAAAGCGAACGAAATGAAAATGTCAGACTTTTTGGCAGTCGTGGTAGCAGCGTCGTGGCGCGTCACAGGAGTACCCTATCAAGTTCGGGTTTTTTGGAGGCTGTGCGCACCTCACCAACGCTCATGGTCGTGCTACTAACTCCATTCGTCAGAAAAACAAGTTACTAGGAATTTTGACTGCGCCTCACACACATGTTATAGGATTATTATGATCCACTCCTTTTTGTCAAAGATTTTAAGGCCAGCCCGTCTCTGAATAAGCTTGATTTTCAATGGATTTCACCACATTTCTGAACGAGAAACGACATACTCTCTGGAGTTACACCCACGCGATCACGCGATCTCTCTCTCTCTCTCTCTCTCTCTCTCTCTCTCTCTCTCTCTCTCTCTCTCTCTCTCTCTCTCTTTCTCTCTCGCGATCGTGACCATGAGCTCGTTTTGTGCGCGACTGGCGCTGGTGGTGGCCTGTTCGGGTCTCTTGGCTCTGGCTGCCAATAGCACGGCGGGGAGTACAACCTCGGCTGCCACGACGGTGACGACGACGGCCATGACCAGCACCAGCACCAGCACGACCACGAAACCGTTGCCCTGCATCGATGCCGACTACGCTCGACGAACCTCGTGCAACGGAGACGTGTACGGTGACAGCAACACCTGGTGCCGATGCACCGGGAGTGTCGATCGCTCCACCTTCCCAGATCCCTTTGCCTATACCATCAACCCTCGCAGCACCTATACCTCTGGCTTTCTCATTGTCGCCGTCAACACGACCAACATGACGGTTGACTACAGCATGGTGGCCATCCCCGCCTCCGACCTCAACGTGACCGGCACCACCGACGCGGGATTCCCTGAGCACATCTACCTGTTTCAATACATGCCTGCCAAGATCTCTTTCGGCATCAACTATCCCAATCCGGCCCCGGATCACCCCTACGCCGTCTCCCTCAGCACCATCAGCCTCACCATTCAGATGGGCTCCACCAGCCAGTCCCCTCTCGCCGCCTTTGACGATCACTTTTGCCCTCACCGGCCGTCCGTCCGCAATTGCAGCATCATTGTCCAGCCCACCTACCCCTCCAACGTCAACCTTGAACGCTTTGCCTGGAAAACCTATGTCTCTGACGCAGACGGCCACAACATGACCGCTTTCCCTGCCATCTCCCTCCGCTCCTCCTGGACCTCCATTTCCCTGCCCAAACGCTGTGCTCCGTACTCCATTTATGTCGCCATGCAGGCCCTGTATGCCAATGGTACGGCCGGCCCCGAAGCTAACATGAGCAAACCCACCATCTTTACCAACGCCGATGTCCCAGACCGACCCTCTGCTGTGACCATGTAAGCCCGGCGCAACCTCCCAGCCCAAGTCAACCCTCGCCCTCGTCGACGTCGCCCCCCGTCAATGTTTGTATGTGGGTGGGGATCAACTTCTTATCCACGCAGCTCACTCTCTCCCTTTGATAATTTGCTTTTTTTCTTTTTCTTATCCTCAAGGGCTGGCTTGACGTTGTCCGCCCACTCGGTCAGCGTCTCGTGGTACGATGGTGCTGATAATGGTGGATGCGAGGGCGTGCACTACACTGTCACTTTTGGCAACGACAACACTGGTGATCAATACGGTACGTTGCCTGTACGTGTAGACGTATTGGCCCGCTCACATTGGCCGCCCATACGCCGTGCTCTCATCAAAGCGTTCGCCTGTGCCGGGAAATTTGTTCTTTTTTTTTTTTTTTTTTCGTTTTTTTTTGTGTTTTCTTTCCTTCTTTTCCGGCGTGGGATGATGTCTGACTCGGTCGACTCGTACAGCCAGCCAAGTCGTGTCGCCTGGTGTCCAGAGCGCTGTCCTCAACTGGACTCAGGAACTTACCGGAGGCCGCTATGTCGTGAGTGTACCATCTCTACCTGGAAAGCTCGCCGATGATCGCCGATGCTGACAATTGTACCTCCCCTCTCTGTGCAGGCCTGCGTTTCGGCCGTCAACTCGGTCGGCGCGACCACCCCTGAATGCGACTATTACAATGTCGCTGGCCCGACTCGAACGAGCGGCACTCCCCCCGCCGTGGTTGCAGCGATTTGTGTCGGTACCCTGCTAGGCGTTGGCCTCGTCGTGGGGGCCGTCATCTATTGGCGCCGCACGCGTCGCGTCGCACAGTACGATGCCATCTAAGCTTTGGAAAACGAAGAGCCACCCGCTCCTTGCAACGTGTTGATGCATATGGTTGTCAGTGTTTGAGTTGCTCCCGTTGCGTGCGTGTATATATACATCCACAAGCCGCTTTACTTGTCTTTGGATTCCTCTGGTTCCTTCTTTCAGCCGCATTGTCGTTACAGAGTGATATTCCCGAGTCTTGAGTTTTGCATCAATCGATGTTTGCTGTTTGCCTGCCAATATGCTTCGTGACCCAAACGCACATCTGCCTGAATGAGTGGTCGGTTGCAACGTCAAGTTGATGCAAACACGTGAATCTGCTGCTTCCATCATGTTACGTGAGCAACACAGAGTCAGTTGTGGTGCTTTCTGCGGATGCCTCAAATTTGCAGGTAAGAGAAAAAAAACATGCGGGGGGGGGGGGGGGGGGGGGGGGGGTAAATTTTTTTTTTTTTTGGAAAAGCAAAACCCCAAGGGGGCCAAAAAAAAAAAACCAATTCCCCCCCCTTTTTTTGG